GCTTGCGAGAGGTATGGCTGGCCCACTTGGTCGGAGCGGCTTGCGGAAGCTCCATGTATATTTGCGACGAAGGATTTAAACCAACTCCTGCGTGAYGCGGCCGGGAGGGTCCCGCGCTGCCTTGTGCGGTGCCGGACCGATGCGCTCGACACCGGGCAAGTGGTTCTGGGCCGCTCTGCTAGACTAGGTCATTATAGTATTACGGGGAACCCCGTAGCAGCCACATCCGTGCTCAAGCCTCCAACTAGGGGACATGCAGGAGCTGCTCCCACCAGCAGGTGGGCGATACGGGGCACGGGTCAGCCAGTAGCATCAGGACCGAGCTTCTTCGATGGGCCAGTTCCTGTGCCTCCCCTACGGTCCCCTCCCCCTATGAACATCAGCAGTCAAATGAAAAAAAAAAGGCCGTGTATCTCTCCATGTTCTGCGGGATGATTTATTGTTTGTAGATTTGGTGAGGAGCGCCTGCATGTCTGACCACATGCACAAAAGACAAAAAGGTATGGAGATCTCCTCTCACTGCTACGTTTGCCTCCATGAGTCGTTGGAAGACTTCAACCACTTGTGGTGGGAATGCATCATGGCATAGGGCTTTTGGGAATGGATCACCAGCATGTGTCCAAACTGGTATGGACAAAGGACTTCATTATCTTGGGGAACAGAGGGCAGGATTAGGCTTCTATCATCACAAACAAGTTCAAGATTCTGGGTTTTTGGATTCTTTGGATGGCCAGGAGGGAGAGACGTTTTAAAGGGAAAAAAAAATCCCCGGGGCCAAGTCCCACTTACCTGGATTCTCCTTTCCCAACCGTAGATCATGAAAATCGACGGCCGGAAATGAAGAATCCGATCAAGTGGGACTTGGCCCCCGGTCATCTGTAATTAGTTCCAATTTGCTGTTCGTAATATTATCTATGCTGAATGGAGGAAGTTTTTATGCTTCGAAAGATCCAATAAGAAAGGCTATAGTTAAGGGAAAAATGCTGAATAGGTGGAGTAAATCTGGACTCTTTTTGTGGTTCTCAGATTGTTCTTAGTTGAAATTCTTAGGTTGTTCTTAGCCGAAGCCAGGTAATGGCCCTGGCATTCTCAGATTGCTCTTAGCCAAACCCAGGTAATGGCCTTGGTATTCCAAATTTCTCGTATCATTTTATATGGGACGCTGGGCCCGGTTCCCAGCACGTGTTGCTCCCCACGAATAGATTGGAGCATTTGTCCCCCCCCCAAAAAAAAAACAGATCCAATGAGAAAGTCTATAGCTGAAGTGAAAATGCTGAATAGTAGGTGGAGTATGCCATTCAAATGGGTATCTTTCTCGGAGTATGGGCAGGCATCTACCGTCTTCCCCCGAACATAACGCACCCTGAAAAGGAAAGTATACATGTTATGTTTCCGGCCAGATACAGTCAGAATGAGGGTGCGTTGTGTTCGGGGTAAGAGGGTAGTAGTCTCCAAGCATCTATGGGATGAGACCTCTGAGTTTTCTCCTCCCATAATTGATGACTTGGATGAGTGTTAGGCAGTACCTTTTTGCCTGAAGAACGTACATGCGTGACTAGCTTTACACTCTCCGTAAACTGGGTATTGCTCCCAGGGGGCAAGCTTTCTTTCTATATAAAGATGATAAAGATGATGGGACGCTGGACCCGGTTTCCAGCAGGTGCAGCTCCGCACCAATAGATTGGAGTCATCAATTGCACCCCTTCGATACCAGATGGGCTCGTATCTCTCTGGTACCGCAGAGGCTACACAGATGTTCAACTCAAAAAAAAAAGAAAAACAAAAAGAAAAACAAAAGAAAAAAAAAAAGAAAAAAAAAAAGAAGAAGTACGGCAGCGTATCTTTCCATGTTCTAGCGGAGGGTACATTCTCTTCTTGTACAATTATAGGGTACATTCTCTTTTTGTACAATTATTGGCGAGTAGTGGAGCGAGGCCCTATGGACTGAGTCCTCTTGTTGTTATTATTACTTACCAGCCGAAGTGGACCCTACAGCACCGCCCTGGGGTGAGGTCCCACTAGCAAAGAGGGTTGGATAAATATCGTGAATCTGGACGTGTTTAAAGAAGAGGTTCCGAAAAGCAGTTCAATCTCGACATTCTGCACATTTCCACAAAGAAGTCCAGATTCAGGTGTTCAATCCAATCCTCTTTCCTAGTGGGACCTCGCCCCTGCGGTTGGGTGTCGCTCCACTACTCTCGACATGCACAAACGACAAAAATCATGGCAGTGTACCTTTCCATGTTCTATGGAGATATTCACTCTCGTTTTGCACATTTTGAGCGGGACCGAGCCCCGTACTAGATTGTGTTTCACAGCATTTGGCGAGGCCGTTCTGGCGGCAGTTGTGTTCTAGCGAGAGATTGGGCCTCGCTGCACTACTCTCGTCATTTGCAAAACGAGAGTGAATCTTCCGCTACAATATGGAGAGATACACCGCCATGAGTTCTGTCTTTTGTGCAGGTCGAGAGTAGTGGAGCGAGGCCCTTCACTCTCGTTTTGCACATTTGAGCGGGACCCAGGCCCAGCGTTTGGCGCGGCGATTCCTGGCGGCAGTTGTGTTCTTCACGGGAATTTGGGCACAGCCGGTCCTCAGTTGTTCGCAGCTGCAGTGAGCGATTCGGTGCGAGTCTCTCGATCTCGCGATCTCGCGATCTGTCCGTGAATCGCGCTCTCTAACGAATTTCAGCATCCCTTGCGTGTCGGTGTTGACATGGCGGCTATGGCGACGGAGGCGGTTCTAGCGGCCGCTGCAGCTGTGCCTGCTGCTTCTACTTCCCAGTCTGTTTTCTCGCGGAAATCATCATCTCCTTCGTCCTTCAACGGCGCGCATTTACGGCATGGGTTCGCCGCTTCGGACAATTTCAGCCGGCAGTCTGGAGGCCGCAAGGGATCTCCGGCCTCTACGGCGGCGGGGAAAAGACGCGGGGTCGTGACAATGGGCTTATCCCAGGACGGACCATCCATAGCTGTCGTCGGGGTTACGGGGGCAGTTGGCCAGGAATTCCTCCAGGTCCTGCATGACCGCGATTTCCCGTACAGGAGCATCAAGATGCTGGCGAGCAAGCGATCGGCAGGGAAGAAGCAAGAGTTCGAGGTAAGACATACGCTCACGCTCAGATCCTTACTCTCTCTCTCTGTCTCTCTCTCTCTGTCTCTCTCTCACACACATGCACACACACACGCACACACACACACACACACAGAGTGTGTGTTATCATGTTCGCTATACACACACACAATTCCATTAAAAAAATGGCATTACTGTACCAGATCGTTTCGTCGGACTTTCACGGACCTCATAAGGAGGTTGAACGCCGACAAACTGTCTGTGTGTGTGTGTGTGTGTGTGTGTGTGTGTGTGAGAGAGAGAGAGAGAGAGAGAGAGAGAGAGAGAGAGAGAGAGAGAGAGAGAGAGAGAGAGAGAGAGAGAGAGAGAGAGGTGAGGGATGGTGATTGATTAATGCTATGAAAATGAGGAGGTAAATGAAGTGGAGATGGATAGAGAGGAGAGTTTTTTGGTAATGAAGAAATTATGATTGATGATGATGATGATCATGATGATGATAGCGATGATGGGGACGGCAACGGCGCTCATTGCCAGGAATAGATCGCGACGGAAGCGTACAAGATCGATTCTGACGTGGGAGGAGAATTTTAAGGGGTGACGCCCGAGGGTTGGGAAAGACAGACAGAGTCAGATGATTGACAAGTGAATTACAAAGATGATGTGGGGGGGGAACACAAAAGGGGAATGCAATGCCGAAAAATAGCTGCTGATGATAAGTGAAGCTTCTGTTGATACAGTAAGTAATGCGCTCTATGCGCGTCTTCCTTGCGCAGGGGCCATGCTAATCAGCCTTCTCTGTATCGCTCCAATTTTTAATGGATGTCTCGAAGGATCAATTGCCAAGTGTGTCCAAGAGCAACAGTCCAAACTAAGAAAGATTGTACCACTAGTCTACTACCGTCTTCGCCATCATCATGTCTGTATTGGACCGGAAAAGTAGCTTGTCTTCATTTAGTAATATGTTAGGGTGCGTTGTATTCGGTTGTTGATGGGAATTCAGGGACCGCTGATTGTGTGGCACTGATAGCGATCTATTCGTTCCGATTACGGAAACGAAAACAGATCTGACGGCGATCTATTTTAAAAGTACTATTTATAATATAATAATCGTTTTATAATAATCGTTGGAGTATCCATTAATTCCGATTACAGAAATGCGCTAGATGAAAGAGGGTATGACTGCGATCTTGTTGTTAATTTGTTATGTATTCATTCATTTACAGTATTTTACTTTACTATTTTGTTATTATTTTGTTATTGTTGTTGACGGACCGACATACCAGGAATCTGATTTTTTTAAAAATTATTATTATTATTATTATTTTTACCAGGAATCTGATTTCATACATGTGGATTCGGAGTTCGAACACAGGTCTGTATTACAACGGTTCAGGGATGTACCAACTGAGCTACCTTCTTCCGCCGAATACAATGTACGGTCATTATAGCTGTATCTGGACTGAAAGATGCCTCAAATACAGCTATAATG